GCTGTGCATGGCTGTGCATGACCTCATATGACCTCATCCTTGGTCATATCACCTGATCACCTGACTAGGCTGAGTAAGCAAGATGTTCTAGCAGGTTCCACCACAGAGGTATAAATATAAGGCCTACTCTGCCTGGGACTGTCTCTTCAGACTTGGTCTCTTAGGATCATCCACAGATACCTATACTGTAGATAGGTCTTAGTCATCAGGTCTACTCCACTTCCTTGTTGCCTGCTTAGACTCTTGGCACTCTTAGGTGAGCAGACTTAGTCAGCCTGTGTTGCCCTAACACATATTAAGCTTGAAGCTGAGGAATGATTGGTAGATATTGATATGGCCATGCAGGCTTGCCATTTGTCTTGAACCTTGGTTCACTGCAGTGTGGACAACACCTGAGTTTGGCGAGGGCACCTATGTATGCCACACAGGAATTGATGCAGCAATCATAAGTGATGGGCTTCATTCCAGAGACATGTTGAATGCGTCATTCAATATAGGGGAGATTGTAGAAGATGTTGGGATAGGTGAAGTTGAGGGTGTTGTACTGCGCATTTGTGAAGTGTCCATTCATCTTCGTGTAGAATGTGGTGAATATCTTCTCATCCTCTGCCAACAGGTTGTCTGGATTGTGTGAGCTGCACCCAAGCTGTTCAGAACAGATTACATACCAGGTATCATTCTTGACTCAAGATCAATCTCCTTGTCCAACTCCTCAATGCCAGAGGTCTCCCCCTCCCCCTCCCTCTCACCGTCATGCATCTGCCATTCTTGCTCCTCCTCCTCCTGCTGCTGCTGCTGCAGCTCTGGCTCCAGCTCCAGCTCTGGCTCCTCCTGCCCCAATCTGGGTTCTTCTGCTGGCAGAGACATCTGGGACCTGACCCCTTCTCTTTCACTGCCAAACAGCTCATTCCACAGATCCTTCAGATCCTTCGCAGGTGGTATTTTGCACCCCAGTCAAGTCATCTCTTCCTTCAATTGTTCCTGCCAGGTGATGATGACCTTCTTTAGGGCTACTGCTTTGGCCGACTGACAATGCTGCCATCTCTGGGTGTGGGACAACATTTTGCCACAGTGAGAGCAAGGACCTTTTCAATGTTTCTGATGGACCTCTGCCTTTGCCTTTACCATAGTGAGAGGTAAACAAAATGGTGGGCCCCACTCTCTGGGACTGAAAAAAGTCAGTGATCCATCAATTCAGAATTTCCATATCAGGTTTATTTTTGCCCTCATTGGTGGTAACCATCTCTTGGCATGTAATGTGATCTGTGTATGTGACTGATTTTGCTATCACAGCTTTCTGCTTGAGGGGTATATAATGGGACTGACAAGCTCCTGTCCCTTTCTCCCCATCCTATGCCCAGGATCTCAGACCTCACTGACACCCCTTCCCTCAGCATCTTCCTTGAACAGGCCCCCTCACCTGAGAGCTCTGACAGCCCTCCCAGCAACTCCCTCTTCCTCAACTTCTTCAACAGCTGCTTTCCACCACTGTGCTCCCAACCCCTCCACACCTCTCCAAGGATGGCTGGTACGTGTCATATGTGCAACCACAATGAGTCTGATGCCATGATTACAGACGTTCTGCTCCCAACAAACACTTTGTCAAAGAAGAAAGTTGGCGCCAAGGGGAAAGGGAACAAGGAGAACCTGCCCGCCCTGTTTTGCAATGCCACCTCTGTTGCACTTGCCCTCTCCACTGAGGATGACCTTGATGAAGACCTTGTTGAAACCCTGGTAAAGCCTGAGAAGCATGCCCTGTCAGTATCTGATATTGAAGAAGATGAGCCCCCACCCAAGCACACCAAGAAGCAGCCTCTCAAGCAGCTTGACAATGGCCTTGACATGCAGAAGTTCCTCTCCAAGAAGAAGTCAAAGAAGGACAAACTTATTGAGGTGAATGTGAGGATTGTAGAGCTTGGGGCAATCATTATGTCTATGAAAGGTATGTCTTGAACACTGCACACATACATACATATCTGACATTATTGAAGCAGATAAGGAGAAATTCCAAAAGGCACTCATAGCCAAGCTGGCAAAGCACAAGGCACCTCCACCTCTGAAGGTCATCCCTAAGCCCTTGGGGCAACCTGGTCATAAGGGGGCAGGTGGATATTGCCTGCAGGAAGAGATGGGGCTCTCTGGGAATGAGAGCAAGTACAATTCTATTTGGGTAAGGGACTCTTACCTGCTATTATAGCTACCTACTAACCCAAGCTCTCCTACAGCAACAAGTCCAACAGATCAGCAACAAGTACAATGTCTGTGGAGACAAAACCATCACCAAACTCCACCCAGAGGTGATGGCAAAGATATACAAGGAAGTGAGTACTGTCCTCCATGCTAAATGACAACATGTATTTACCTTGAAGTAGGCTCAACACAAGATTCCATGCTTGCAATGGTTTGAGAATGATTGGGCCACCAGGGCCATTGTTAAGTCATACACAAGGAATGCCAAGCAATTCTTGGTCTCAAAAAAAGCTCACAATGAACATTGCCTGTCTGGGTCAGGAACTCCAGGCCCAGCTGTAGCCCCTCAGCCTTTGGTGAGAAGCATTTTATCCAATGAAGCCATGGAGTGAGCTGCAGTACAGCTCAACAATGATGATATTGACAACAGTGACAAGGACTGTGTGGATCTTTTGGCTGGAAGTGAATCTGACAATGAGAATTTGGATTAAGTAAGTACCTGATTGTAGATTTGCGTTGTGTACATATTAACATGATTTCCAGTCTCTGTAAGATATTTTGAGTCTGCTTGGCCTGGCTTTTGTTGTCATAGGGACTGCTTCATCAGTGCTTCAAGCACCTTATTCCAGGTCTTGTATGATTTTCAGCAAACAATGACATTTGAATGCTTTTGGTAAGGAATTACATGCAGGTACTGTGACAGTTCGGTTCGGGGCTTGTAAATAAGTTAATAAAATAGATACGGTTTTCAGCTCCACACAAGGTAATTCACTGCCCTAGGTCATGATTGGCATGACCCGGGGGACTCCTGAAGGGACTCAACTTCAGTGCCAATGCACAGTGCAGTGGAAGGTGATTAACAAGCACGGCGGGCAAATCCGAAGACGGGCATGGTCCGCGGATGACCATTGTCTTCTCGGAACTGCTGGGAGCGGTCATAGAAACGGTATGCCCTGCCCGGATCTCCTATCACGACCCTTGAAGAGCCCATTAATGCTGACGAATTGAATGTTGAGAAGGAGCCAAGGACAACATTGCACAACATGTTCAAACGGTCATGTCGGGTCTTAATGTTGACCTCGATTGGGAAGTTCATCCATCAATGGAAGCCGCTGACCGGTGCGACGATGTCAAAAATTTACACTTGCTCGGAGAACAGAAGCGGCAGGGGATTCTTCCATAAAACGTGCATCCATCCACAACAGCCTCAAACTGGCGACACTTACCCGTGTCTCCTCGCTCCAAGGTTAGCCCCCGGGAATATGGCAGACATCGAAACGACTCTTGAGAAAGATGCTCTCCGTGACATAGTTCCAGAGAGCAACGTGGACGTTAAGGACGCCGACGAAGCATTCCAGATCGTGAAGAATGAGCATTCGCGGGTCACTCTCAATCCGCAAGAAGAACGACATCTTCTGTGGAAGATTGATCTACATCTCATGCCGCTGTTGTGAGTTGTCTATGGTTTGGTACGTCTTCAGTCTTCCTGATGTTACAATGGTATTCTGACCCCAAGAATGGCCCAGCAATTCCTAGACAAGACCACATTGTCGTACAGCTCCATTATGGGCATCCAAGCACAGGATCATCTCGTCGGTCAAGACTATAGCTGGCCCGGCACCATCTTTTACTTTGGATACCTGTTCTGGGAGTATCCAGCCAACCTCCTCATGCAGCGCCTCCCACTTGCAAAGTATACTGCGGCCAACGTCATTGTGGGTTCCATATTTCTCAGTGTGTGTCTATTCATAGTTGAACAGATATGGGGAGCCGTCCTCACGTGTATGGCGGCTGCGAAAGACTCTGACGGCCTGATGGTCGTGAGATTTTTCCTGGGCGTGTTTAAAGCAGTGAGCTTGTCGGTTGGAGCATTGAACGCTGTTTGCTAATCAAGAAATTAGTCTGTCACACCCGGCTTTGTTTTATCCACCTCGCAATGGGTGAGTTGCGGGACAACGCGAAATGCTGAATGCCGACGGCCGTATCCGGTACAAAGTAAACGAACAAGGCACTCGCACAGGCATCTGGTTCGCTTCAGTTGGCATCGCACAAATCGTGGGCGGATTGATAGCCTGTAAGCCTGACCTGCGTGTTCGTCTCGCCTTTCGCTAAGAACTGTAGATGGTCTCGCTAAGCGAGATCGTCTTCGTGCTCACCGGCCTTGTTACCGCACTCTTCGGTGTCCTCCTGCTGATGTTCATGCCCGACTCGCCCATCACCGCGCGGTTTCTCACCCACAGGGAGAAGGAAATGGCGATCGAAAGGATCCGAGTTAACAACCAGGGCGTTGGAAACAGATATTTTAAGTCATATCAGTTCCGTGAAGCATTAACTGACATCAAGGCGAGCTTTGTATCGATTATTCCCTGAACATTACAATTAACTCATCTTCCAGACTTGGCTGTTTGTCGCGTGGACCTTGATTGGAGCAATTCCGAATGGTAGACTAACCAAGTACGTCGTCTGATTATTGATCGTTTCACAAGGTGTTTGATCGTCTTTCAGCTTCTTCTCTATCATCATTCAATCCTTCGGATGTGGGTGTTTTAGCCCCCCCCCCCAGGCCCTGGAGTCTCACTGACCGCATCCATCCAGTTACGACGCAGCAATCTTTGCTCTACGGTTGCCCCGCAGGTGCAATGCAAGTCATTACGTTGGTCGGTTTCTTGTGGCTTGGTGATCGCTACAATAACCGATTATTGTGGGCAACATGTGCCGAACTGAGTAATCCGTTTCCAGAGCTATGGTTAGGCCATAACTTATAATAATGCAGTCTCGGTTCTTGGCATTGTTCTGGTATATGCTCTTCCGACCCATCTGGAAGTTGGTCGCCTCATTGTTTACTACCTGGCGAATGCATCTTCCCCTCCCTTTGTGACGATCCTCAGTCTAGTCTCGAGTAATGTCGCCGGATACACGAAAAGTATGTCCTGTACTCAAATGATCTGATTACATGTCACTTATCGCTGGGGGACAGAAACTACGGTGTCTGCCCTGGTCCTCATAGCCTTCTGTGTGGGGAATCTGATCGGTCCGCAAGCGTTCCAAGCCATGGATGCGCCTCGGTATACTCCGGGCCTAATCACAAAGGTTGTATGTTGGAGCATTTGCACTCTGCTGCTTCTTGCTATTTGGTTTGTCAACCATCGCATGAATGTACGGCGGGATGTGATGAAGAGTCGTGGCGAATACGTCCATGTGTCAAATCAAGAGTTCTTAGACAAGACCGACCTAGAAAACAAATCATTTAGATTCAGATGCTAGGATGTGGGATAGCTCCTTCACTAGTTGTAGACATCAATGTGTATCGTATCTAATGTCTGTCCATCTGGTGGCTGCAAATGGAAAGGTCACAAACGCGACCCGTTTCGGTTTCTCCACTCCATCATTTATGCGGATAATATCTCGGTGGTCGGCAGAGCGATATGGGGAACCAGGAACAATCCAAAGGCTCACCGGTTATTACCGGAACAACACATCCAGATAAGGGCCCAATGGGAAGCCAATATTAATAGAAAATGGACTTCTTACAAAATCCGACCTGCCTCCGTTCCTTCAGAAGCACGCGTGCTGGTGGTTCCTTCGACGATGACTCCGGTTTTCTCCACAACTCCACGGTTATCAAAGCACTTCCCTGTCCGTTGGAAGAGATTATCGCGATAGTGGCATCAACAGCAACATTACGTTATCACCAACCTCCAACCCATGGAACAACCCATTGCGTTCCCTTCGCCTGTCTTCCTTTCCAGGCATCTCCTGTACTGGGCCTTTTCAAAGCTGCTTTATTCTACTGCAACAGATAAGCCGATGTCTGAACTGTGCCATGGTTGGTTCTTGGACGGTCATAAATAACGCGCGCCATCAGGTGGTGCGTGGCGTGAGAGACAAGGCTCGTGTCCTCATCTCCCCGCTCCTCAACCTCGTTAATCGCTTTTGCACCGAAAGGCCGGTCAAACATGTCTTCCGCAGAGCTAGAAAAGGTTTCCGAAACTACGCTGGAGAAGACAATGAGCGCAAAGGATGCAGAGGTCCAAGCGCACATGACTGAGGATGATGCCGACGAAGCTCTCAAGATCGTCCAGGAAGAGGGTGAGAATTTCACTATGACTCCACAGGAAGAGGCCGCCCTTCTCCGCAAGATTGACTGGCATATTCTACCGCTGCTTTGTATTGTTTATGGGCTGGTCAGTCCAAGGTTCAAAACCATGCGCGATACCCATTGCTTAAACCCGATCGCAGCAATACCTTGATAAGACCACCCTGTCTTATAGCTCAATCATGGGCATTTCGACATATGCAAATCTTGTTGGGCAGGAATACAGCTGGCTCGCCGGCATATTCTACTTTGGCTATCTTGTCTGGGAGTATCCCACCAACCGCCTGCTGCAGCGCCTTCCCCTCGCGAAGTACACTGCTTTCAACATCATTGTATGGGTTCCTTTCTAAGAGGACCGAACCATATCTTAATACCTTCGAAGGTCTGGGGCACGATCTTGGCTTGTATGGCCGGCGCAAAGAACTGGGCCGGCTTGATGGTTGTTCGCTTTTTCCTTGGCATTTTCGAGGCTGTAAGTTAATCCTGGTTGGTTAGGGGTTTACCCACGCAATGACAGTCCGTGTCGCCCGGTTTCGCATTGTTCACCAGCCAATGGTACAAGACTAATGAACAAGGTGCCCGAACCGGCCTATGGTTCTCCTTCAACGGATTCGCTCAAATCTTCGGTGGCCTTGTAGCTTGTAAGTCGGCCATGCTCTACCAACAGGCATCGTGCTCACCAAGTGCAGATGGTCTGTCCAGGGGCGATCAGTTCCACGAGCTCTCGATTCCTGGTTAGAAGATCGTCTTTATCCTTACTAGAACTCTTACAATTGCGTTTGGTTTCATTCTTCTCGTCTTCATGCCAGATTCTCCGGTTACGGCGCATTTCCTTACTCCCCGCGAGAAAGCAATGGCCATTGAACGCATTCGTGGAAATAACCAGGGCATTGGCAACAAGCACTTCAAGTGGTATCAGTTCAAGGAGGCTCTTCTGGACGTGAAGGTATGTCTCGTCTGAGCACGCAGTTCTAATTTCATGTTGAAGTTTGCAATAGACCTGCCTTTTCGTCGCTTATGCCTTGATTGCGGATGTCCCGAACGGCGGCATTACTAAGTAAGTAACATTGATTGACAAAATACGCAGGCCAGTATTGACACTCCTTCAGTTTCTTCTCCATTGTCCTTACGTCTTTTGGCTGTGAGCTGCGGCGCTTCTGAGACAAACATCTAGCTTACACCTTGCCTGCCAGTCACAGCCCAGCAGTCACTACTTTACGGCTGCCCAGCCGGCGCAATCGAAGTCATCACCCTGATCGGCTTCCTATGGCTCGGTGACCGCTACGGCAACAGGCTCTTGTGGGGCGCCATAAGCCAGGGTATTTCCATGCTTGGAATGGTGCTCGTGTACGCTCTCCCCAGTGACTTGAAAGTGGGCCGGCTTATCGGCTACTACCTAACGGGGGCCTCTGCAACCGGCTTCGTCGTCCTCCTGTCTCTCATATCCAGCAACGTCGCCGGTTATACGAAGAAGACAACCGTCTCGGCGCTGTATCTTATCTTCTACTGCGTTGGGAATCCCATTAGACCTCAAGCCTTCCAATCAAAGAACGCCCCGTTCTATACGCCGGCTTTGGCCGCTATCGTTGCATGCTTTGCCGCATGCATGCTCATTCTGCTGGCACTTTGGTACGTTAACTACGCTGAGAACGTCCGGCGCGAAAAGATGAAGGCTGCGGGCGAGATTGTACATGTTCCCAACCAGGAGTTTCTGTGAGCTTCCACGAACAACAACAGCGTTTTCTTCCGTGTACTGACCTGAACCCAGTGACTTGACCGACATCGAGAATAAAAGCTTCAGGGCTACGTGCTAGACTAGTCTGGCACTTGTGATACTGGGTTGAAGAGATGTTGTGTGTAAGCATGATGATGATGATGATGGTACTGGACATGTATTTGGCACACATCAATATGGAATTGTTCGCTCGATGACACAGTTTTTGAGAATCTAAAAAGAAACCTCTCCCAACTGCATATTCAACCATGAACACTCCCATGCATGTGGTAGCACACCCCTCGTGGGGTAGCCGTGATATCATATCTTACGTAATAAGAATCGCATTCTCCGCGTCGTTCATCAGCAAACCACCACCCACCGCATCAACTTCCTCTTCATGGCGGCGACGAATCCAAAGCTCTCCTGGCTTAGAGGACCAGCGAGAACGTCCTCTTCTGCGACCCGGACTTCAACAAGTTCTCGACCTGCCTCAAAGCCTGGTACACCTGGCCCCTCGAGGGCACCCAACGGCAAACCTGGCACACCATCTGCATACCACAGTGCAATCAAAGATGCGAGCGGGCGGACGACCGAGTATAGCAACAAGGATGACAAGTGTCCTGTATGCACAACCGACAGATATCTCAATCCCAAGCTGAGGCTGCTTGTCAGTCCCTGCTATCATAAAATGTGCGTCGCTATTGGTATTACGTCCTTGAACCTTGCTTACCCAACTCAGGTGCGAGAGCTGTATTGATCGCTTGTTCACCCTCGGGCCTGCGCCATGCCCAATATGTGGAAAGATACTGCGAAAGACCGGGTTCGTGTCTCAGACGTTCGAGGATTTGGAGGTCGAGAAGGAGGTTGCGGTACGAAGGCGAATAGCGCGAGAGTGAGTCATCATGGCGTTGCACCGTGCCAATGGTGATGCTGACCATTAATGTTCACGCAGATTCAACAAGAAAGTTGAGGACTTTCCTGATCGGCGATCCTACGATGACTACTTGGAAGAAGTCGAAGACATCACCTTCAACCTGATCAACGGGATCGACCTTCCACAGACCGAAGCTCGCATCGCCGCTTTCCGCGCTGCCAATGCTGCCCTTATCGAAGCCAATATACAAAGGGATACTGCTGCCGCTGCCGAACAAGCGGAACAGGAAGAAGAGGACAAGCGGCATCGTGCAGAGCAGGCTCGGATGGCAATGAGGGAGGAAGAGGAGGAACGCGCTGAGAAGGACAGAGAAAGAAGAGCAGTTCTCGAAGGTCTGGAGAGGGGAGAGGATGCGGAGGAGGTGCTACGTCGCACAAAGATAGAGGCGGAGCGCAGGGCGAAGAGGGCACAAGAGCTCGCAGCGGCTCAGCAGGCAGCCAGACAGAACGCGCTCACCGCATTCGCCCGCCCTGGAGCTAGGAAGACCGACACAATACCCGACGAGCCGCATATACCTTACCTAGATGATCTGCTGACTGGTGCAGAGCATGACTCATTGAGGTCAACATACGACGACCCGGTGAGCAATGCAGTACACCTGGATATGAAGCTTCGTTGGACGCCTGGAGGATACAGACAAGAGGAGAGTTGGCAAAGGGCAGTCAGCTGTGCTGTTATGGGCCTTGGTCTAGGCATTAGTGGTGTAGGCGCCGTGGATGACAGGGCAATGGAGGTTGATGTTGGCGCTTGAAAACGATAAATCACAAAATTAACGGATAGTAGACGCTCATTATTTTATCCATCCGCCGGCGCACTCATTGTGGGTCCGGCATCCTCCTCCCTGGCATGTTACATAACCCAGCACTGTGGACCTGGCATCCTCTCCCCAAGTACACACTCCACGGGCTCTTCCTCTCCTAAATCCCCAAACCCCTTAAACAACATCGACCTCCGATTCCTACAATTCCTAAATTGCACCTGCAAATCCCATCGCGCCCGCTCTCGTTCATCCGGCGAGGGGGTGGGAAGCAAGCGAGCATCGTAGCTCCGTACGAGGGCTTCATGTGCGTGTGTCGAGCCCCGGTCGACGATGCTGACTCTGCTGAGGTGGGGAAGGGAGGAGCTGAGGCCGGTAAGGAGGGGGAGGAGAGGGAAGGAGAGCATGTGTGAGGGAGGAGCGTAGAATGCGTGCAGCTCTAGAGTGCGGAGCTGTCGTAGGGGAGAGAGATGACCCTGCGCAAGCCAGTCTTCCGGGGCGAGGTCGAATATGCCCTGTAGAACGGTATCGTCAGTTTATCTGCGAACACCGTGAAAATGGACGTACGCGATACGGGACGTCCAATACGGTCAGGACGAACTCTCGCAAGCAGGGAAAGGCCGTGCCGACAAGACGGAATGTGCTGGGGTCAAACGAGCGGAGCTTGAGATCCAGAGCCCGGATGGGAGCAGTGGACATCTGCAGCGTTCTGATAACCCTTGGTAGGTGGTCTAGGTCCAGAGTAGTCGCTTCCAGGGCTACGTCCCTTACTGGTCGGCCGGGGATAAGCGTCTCTGCTTGCCGCAGCGAGCAGCGGACAGCTTGCAGCCTGGGGAGGGCGGAGGGAGATAGGGAATCGGTATTACACCCGAAGAGGTTGAGCATATATAGACTTCGAAGATAAGGGAGAGAGTGGAGGATGGATCCTTGTGGCCCGCGAGCGCCCACTTGGAAGTAGGTGATCTTGTGTTTCGGGGAGAGGAAGAGGTTGGACGTGAGGAGGTCGTCGAATCCCAGGTGGGAGGAGACGGACAGCTGGGCAAGACGCGAGCAAGCGGCGTACGTGCGGAAAAAGAGGCGCGTGTAGGCGGGAGCGAAGAGTTCCCTTGGTGGGCGGGCGTACGTTCGCGTGCGCGAGGCTCCGGCACGATCAGCCGCTTCGAGTCCGAAGAGGAGGGAGATGCTCCTCACGGAAAGAGCGAGCTCGGGCCGCCGGGAGATGAGCACGCATTGCTGAACTGTTGGAAGGCCGAGACGTAGTGAGAGGTGCCGGTATAAGTGTCGCTGTGCGAGGGTATGGAATGCCCTTGAGAGGAAGGAGATGGTGCGCAGGTCCGCGCGAGAAGTGAAGCTGAGGATAAGGTCCCAGAGCTCGACGGGCAGGGCTGGGGGCTCCCTGAGCACACTCTCGTCATCTTCTGAGCACCCCCCGTGCGAGAGGGACATTTCAATCCAGGACAAGTTGTGTGCTCGTACACGGTGCATCAGAGGTAGGAGGTGTGCTTGCAGTACTTATCGGCCTGACTTTGGCGGTAAAACATTCTCGGAATGAATGTCGTCCACCGGTCCCTGCTGACCGCATCAGCCATGAATGATCGGACCCCGTGCACCGCTCCTGCCCCGGAGGACGTTCCGCCGAGCAGACGACGTCCAAAGAGGGGTATTTTGCACTCGGAAATATGGTTTGGATGTTGTCTCCTTCTGGGTAATTGGGATCAACGGAGATGTGGCTAGAGGAAGTCAGTACGCCGGTGGGGAGCGACGAACTCTTTCCGTTGGGTGACATCTACTTCTCTGACCCAGTATCCCGTCGCCTGATTACCGCGCCGCTCATCAATAAAGTATGTCTCGACCTCTTGCCTGTCGCGCTCTTTCTCGTTGATTAGGACAAGGGAGAAGAAGCTTGGTGTGGAGGCGAGGAGGTGAACAAGGGGGAGAGCCTTGACGCTCGTGACGACCCGCCCTATGGAGGAGGCGTGCAGCTCGAGTGTCTGGAGGTGGGAGAAGGCGCGAAAAGCTTCTATGCAGGCGTCGCGCTTTAGGTGGGATAACATCTGTGTCACGTCAGCACTGGATGAGAACAGGGCAGTCGGGATACACGCACCTTGGCGTGATCCTCGATCTCGCTGTACGCTACTAAGTCGACGATGAACGGTACACAGGCGGCGATCTCGTCGTAAAACATAGTGTCTACCTTGAATACTCGTATGCTCAGCCTTTGGAGAGGACCGACGCTCCTGCCTAGGGGGGAGACGAATATAGGGAGCTCATCGGGGGTGATGATGCCCAGTATCGAGAGGGTCGTGACTGGCCGACCGGGTACGAGGTAGACGATTGCATTGCGGATTAGGCGGAGGGTTTGGAGTTCGGGCAGTGCAGAGGCAGGGAGAACGTCTAAGGCGTAGGAAGGCTCTGGGTCGGGCATGTCTGCTTCTTGCAGTGTGGGCAGGCTGGGTAGCAGGAGGGTGGTGTCTATCGCTCGAGGGAGGGCGAGTTTATCGAGAGGTATATTAATGCGGGCGAGGTTGTGTGAGCAGGAACAGCGGTAGCCTGCAGTTAAGTGACGGAATGTCAGAGAGCGGAGATGGGACATCTGTGCCAACGAGCGGAAGACGAGTCTGAGGAAGGCGGGTGTGCGGAGGATGTTGGTGAATGCGAGGCGGATTTCGGAGGGATGATGCAGGGTAATGTCGAGTGCGTGGATATGCTGGGCAACGTCGGCGTTGCGTGCGATATGGCGGCAGAGATGGAGGACGTGGGCGAAGGTGGGCAGCGTAGGAGAGCGGAAGAGGAAGGGAGAGGTGATATGGTAGAGACGGGTGCTGCAGAGTGCGAGTGAGAGAAGCGTCGGCGTGTCGGTGGACGGTACGCATGCGATTATATGCAGCAATAGCTCAGTGGGGAGCGACATCCTCGCCGTCTAGCGCAGCGTTGACGATGTTAGTGGCGACGAGGACGATGACGTTGACGATGAGGAGAGAGACAATCACAGCTTGCTTCCGCTGCCTTGTATAAGTCCCTTACTCCCTAACCCTAACCGTATACATCTCCCTCACCGTTCTCGCCGTCATCCTCATCATCCCCCATGGCAGTTCTAGACGAGATCGACCCCGAACTCATGCGTCTCTGGAGCCTCATCTCCGAGCTCTCAGACCAGCTCACCCAGAACAGGCTCCAAGTCGTCCATCTCCAGCAACAGGCTGACCAAGTCCGCGTACGTCTTCCTGCATACAATTGCCTTACCTCGCGCTCAAAGGATGACAGGGTCAGGCCGTACACTGCGGTAGCGGGTTTGCATTACGACGTTGGAACACCGACATATCTAAAGGTGCGCTCTCACCCCCCTGCGAATGCTCGCTAACCCCGCAAAGAGGTCTTCGAATCCGAACTAGAGCGGATGAACGCTCACCTCGTGCTCGAAAACCAGTCTCTAAACCACGAGAACAAGCAACTGAATGTCCTACTAAAAGAATACGAGCAAGCACTGGATGTGATCATGTCCAAGTTCCGCTCTCATGCGCACAGTGCACAGACACACGACCTAGCTCTGGCGAAACACTACGAGACCCTGCTCTTAACCTCCCAGACGTCGTTGTTGAACGGCTCTCTGACTGCGAGTGCCCAGCAGACAGAGAGCCTCTCCCGGCTCGGTCATCTCCTCCGAGCGGCGATCCGAAGCCTGCAAGGCGAGCCTGGGTCACCGAACCCCTCCCCACCCGCGAGCCCAACAACTCCTGAAAAAGCGATCGCGCGAGGACTCACGCCGTCCGAAGAGTCGCGCGACTGGAACCTAGACCGGGAGATCGAGTTAGCGCGGCTGGAAGCGGAGAACAGTGCTCTGCGCGCGTTGCTCGGGATCTCGGAGGGGAGTCCGGGGGAGAGGAGGAAGCTGCTCGAAGACTGGGACAGGGAGAATGACCGCCCATTGTCTGGGAGCATGCTTGTTAGTGGGAGGGGAAGGCGGGGGATGAGGAGGTCTAGTCGAGGCGGGAGCTTGGCGGGCGGAATGGGCGGGATGGGTGGAATGGGCAGTATGGGTGGGGTGGGTGGCATGGGCTTGCCGCCGTATGTCGCTACACAGGGCATGTTACCCCTTGGAGGCGCGGGGAGAGGAGAGATGATGCGCTGAGTCTGTTGGCAGCGGTGGAAGGGATTTGCCGTGAGGAGGGAGATACCATATGAAGGAATACCATTCGGTTGTACATCAGCACTTACTTGACAATATTGCTTCATTTGCACGTCGGAAAAATGTAGGATGTGGGCACACCACCAGAAGGACAGCGCACACATATACGTGGTACATTTCATTTGATTTGTCTACAAGCACAGTTTATCTTTCCCTCTAGTACATTTTCTTACATGCCCAGTATGTTGGTACAGTAATACATACATCTCACTTTCAGCATCTTCCATCGTTCGCATGCGTTGTCCTTGTCGATCCCAGGCTGTAAATTCACCGTTCTCTTCTTCATTCCGAGTTTCCGTGTCTTTCCCTCTATCCCGATCCTCATCGGCCACCAGGACCCTCTCTCCCAACCTGCTCTCTCCCCCTCCCGACCTCCAACGACCACATCTCAAATGCTCTGACGAGATACGGCGCCCACCCGGGTATTGCCTCCCTTGGTAGATCAAGGTGGGAGAGGAGGGAGGCTTCGAGTGCCGGAGAGCGGGATAGGGCGAGGAGGAGTGTGTGGGCGAAGGTCTGTCCTGCGGGCAGAGGAGGGGGGCCAGGAGGGGGTGCGGGAGGGAGGGCGGGGGGTGCACGGGGCAGTGAAGGGCGTACGAGAGTGGGGGGTTGGGCGTCGTGCTTGGGCGATGGGGAGGATGTGGGAGGGCGAAAGGCCTTGAAGGGGGTGGTAAGGGCAGGAGGTGGGAAGGTGGGGATGTGGGAGGGCGGGAGATGACGAGTGAGCGTTGGGGTGCGGTGAGAGGCGGGGGGGAAGAGTAGCATGGCTCCTCTGTCTGCAAGAGGGATGCGCCTCGAGGTATGGGCTCTGTGCTGGGCCATCCAGGAGGATCCCGTTGCGGTCGTTGGGCGTTGGCTTGATGTCCTGGGAGAGGCGCCTTTGAAGAGTTGGGCAACGTCGTCGGCAGTACTCCGGTCTCTCTACTTCCTTCTATGCCCGTGCTTGACGACCTTGCCGATGAAAAAGACGCCGATGAGAGAGTATCCGACGGTCTGCGTCTCCGCTGATTCCCAACTGTTCGCCCAGTCGGAAGCACAGACAAACCAGCCGCCTCCCTCTCCCTCATCTTCTTCCCCTCCCTGCACCTCCTCTGCCTCTCCCTCGCCTTCTCCCTCACCCTTTCCCTCTTATCCCTCTCCTCCCCCGTAAGACCCAGCATGCCTCTCGCCGGGTCTTTCCTCTCCACTTCTGGGGGAGGTTGCAGCCCAAGAGAGAGGAGCCGGTCACGTTCCCTCTTGCGCCGTTGACGGAGACGTGACTGTTCGCGTATCTGGGCTGCGCGGGAGGGGGTAGACTGGAGGGGGATATGGCGAGGGGAGAGAACGGACATGGTTGTGTTAGGTTATCGTTGAATAACGCATCGATGTGGACTGTAGAGCGTGACATGATGTGACAACGTGACAGAATTGGGGTGAACGGAAGTAAACTATAAATTGAACCCGCCCAAAGTGCCGTTCGCCACCACAGCTCGAGGGGAAAAAGGGCGCGTCTCTTGTCCACTTACCATCTTGTCCTTTACTTACCTCTGCCCTCGTCGTCGTCGTCGTCGTCGTCCTCCTCCCCCTTCTCCTCATCGTACAACTCGACTTGTTCATCAACCACCACCTCTCACACAATTTAACTTTCTACCAGCAACACACTGTTAGCATACACCTCGCTCGTAAAAAATGGCCGACAACTTCATCGGGTACGTTCGCTTTCCTTTTCCCCGTTTCAAGCGCATATATTCACCTTTTCCAGCGCCCGCATCTCCCTCACCTCCATGCGGGGTGTGCGGTACCTCGGCACACTTCATTCCTTCTCAAAGGATGACAGTACCATCTCCCTCTCTGACGTGCTCTCCATGGGCACAGAACACCGCAGGCCGCAGAACGAGTACATCGCTCCGTCCGAGCGCGCATATCCGTTCATCGTCTTCCGCGTCAGCGACGTAGCGGACGTGAGCGTCGAGCAGCCCGCACCGCCCCAGGCGATCAACCAGGTGCCGGAGGACCCAGCCATTGTCGCTGTGAGTATTTGCTCCCTTGCCCCTTTGACCCCCTACCCTTTGAGGGGAAGATGCAAAATGATGAACTATTCACGGATGTTTACTTTTCACACCGACGAGCGCATAACCCCATGTGGAAATTGCCGTTGCCTTCCTTCTGACCTTGCATCCCCCTCTTCCTCTTGTCCTTACTTTTTTTCCTCTCAACATCGCTAACATCTAGCTAGCATCAACCACCACTTCCTCCTGGCGCACCGCAAGGATTTTATCCCCCTCCTCCCGGCGCAGGGCAGCGGGTGATGGCCCCTGGTCCTCCTGGTCCTCCCCCGCCTGGCCCTCCCGGCGTTCCTGGACAGCAAGGTTACTATCCCCCTGGTCCTCCGGGAGGCATTCTGCCCCGAGGACTCCCTCAGCAACAGCCGGGCTTCCCTCCCGGTCCCTCTGGGGTTGGTCCTCTCCCAGGAGGCCGCCCACTGCCACAAGCACCTGGACAACCCCTTCCTGCACCTTCACAAGGCCCGCTCCCCGTACCTGCTCCCGCTCCCCACGCCCCTATTCCTGCATCTCAACCCATCCCTGTGCCTCCCGCGCCGCTCGCTCCTGCCCCTGTGTCTCAAGCTCAGGCGCCTACCACCGTCGAAGCTCCAAAGCCGCGCCACCCACAGCCAAAGGGTGCACGTGTCCCCTCCCGCTCCCGCTCGGGGCAAGCCGTAGCAGTAAATGCTGAGAGCGCTTCTGTTCGCGCAGCCAGTGCGAGCTTGGAGAATGTCGAACGAGCTTTGGAAGGGCTGAGGTTGGAGAGGGAGACTGAGGCGCGACAGGGTCCACCTTCAGCTGGGCACAAGGGCCCCCCTCCCTCTGCTAATGGCGCCAGCTTTCCGGTTCGTCCTGCGAACGGCACTGCTGCTGGAGAAGGGGACACCCGCGCACGCAACAGACGGCGAACCAGGCCGCCTCATCCTACCTCTGGCACGTTCGGCACCCAGACCCGCGCTCCTCTACCCGCAGCAGACTTCGATTTCTCCGCAGCCAACTCGCACTTTGACAAAGCGGCTTTGTTTGCTGATGTGGTCGGCGACGAAGAAGGCTCTTATTCGAGCGATCTCGAGGAAGGCGAAGAGGGAGAAGTGGAGAGCGGGACCAAGTCCCCCGGAGAGGGAAAGGACGCCGGAGGGAAGAAACTCAAGAGCCCGGTATACGACAAGTCCAAGTCGTTCTTTGACCAGCTGTCGGAAGCGGCGCCTCCCAGTAGCGGGCCGGACCCTGCTCATGCCCCTGCAGCCGGTAGGGGGAGGGGCGGATCCCGAGGCAGGGAAAGGAGAGAACAGGAGAGGAATTTGAATATGACTACGTTTGGGGAGGCGGGGGTGGGGAGGTACGGCGATGGTGTGAAGGTTGGTCTGGGCATGGGCGGGTATGGGTGGAGAGGCGGCAGAGGGAGGGGGAGAGGAAGGGGAAGGGGCAGGGGTGGCCCGAGGGGCGCTCCCGCACAAGCACCAGTAGCGTCCTGAGCGCTTGCTGAGTTTCTGAGAGTGCTTTCCCTGCGCGTGGCTCGGGGCTCGATTTGGTTGCTTGAGATGCATGTGCATGTTTGGGAAGGCGAAATTCTGAGTCGTGAATCGTGAAGTGTATGCGACGCCTTGCTGCTGGCTATAGTACTGTGGGGGATACAGAAGGATAGGATATGAAACTGACGAGGTATGGGAGTCCTCCATAGTACAGTATAGGCAAATGCATTTGTTAGTTGCAATGTGTTATTTTTGCTAGTTGACAACTATTTGGGGAAGGGAAACGGAAGAAACTGGCAGTATCTCCAACAGATGTTGGCACTTTCCCCTCATCTGATCCCTTTGTCCTGTGCTTCTCTTCCAGTTCAGCTGAGCTTCCTCTCGCTTTTCAGCCCAGAGCATCCTAATTCTGCACCAAGATGAAGATGGGCAACGGCAGCCTCCCTGAACTCCCCCCAGAACTGTACGAACACATCATCGCTTTCCTAGACGACCGACGTGATCTGCTCCGAATCTGCTTAACAAACTCCATCTTGCATGATCTCGCCGCTCGGTACCTCTATCGCCGTCTGAGAATACAAGACTTCCGGAGGGCGGTCGCTGCCTGCATCCTCCTAGTCAAGAGACCGCACATCGCGGCGTACGTGACGCAGCTCGAAGCAGACTTTGGCGAAGTCCCCGACTGGATCGTCCATCAATGGCCTAAGCCGAGGATCTTCCTCAACACCTTCGCACCCGCTTATTGCCGCATCATGTTCCGCGCGTTTGGGTCAATGAACCAGCTCGAACATCTGACATTTAAAAACACTTCGCCGTTGGGCAGGCTGCCTATGACGAACCTGGCCAACTGCACCTTCCGGGTCCGGTCGCTCACTCTTCCAACGTCAACATTCGAGCATGTGATACTGCAGAGTCAGCCCCTCATCGAAGATCTGGAAGTCCTAGACGGACCAAGCTTCTCCATCCTTGCATTACGTCGAACAGCAATCCCACATCTTAAACGCTTGGCAGCGTTCCAGATAGATGCCAAGTATCTTATACCTGGTCGGCCTGTGGTCGAGTTCCGCCGGCTCGATACCCTGCTGGAAGAACACGTGCCGGATTGTCTAAACACTCTTTCGCAGTCGACCGGTCCGCTCAAGAGGGTCAGGTTGCTGATGATGAAGATCGACGGCCTGTTCTTCGTCCGAGCTGCCGCTGCCATTCCGGATATCGTCGATCTCGTCATTCACGGTATGGGGAACGTGGAGCACACGGTTCGTTCTGTATCCAGCCCGCTGGTTGTACTGCTCTAATGGGACGCAATATGTAGGTTTCAGAAGAACTGCAAACTTTCGAGGTCGTCCACGCGTTCCGTGGTTTCCGCTCGCTCAAGAATATAGAGATCCATTCCTACTACGACGGCTCGGCAGAGTACTACTTCCCGCCCATACACGTTCTGGGCCGAGCCTGTAGCACGCTCGAAACTTTCACGATAGTCGATGAGCTGCGGGGGAACTCGGACCGCTCGCGCCTGCCTGCTTACCAGCTGCATCGAGAACTTGGAAAGATACTCCAGGAGGGGGAACTGGAGTGGATACCGAGGAATGGGATTGTAAGGACGCCGCCGTCGGTGCCTGGAAGGCAAGTGACACTTGTCGAATGGATTGGATGAGTGATTGCGGTGGATATATTCTATTGTGACTCTTAGGTGAAAACGCCTGCGGTTTGCAATTGGTGCGCTCCCGTCTTACATCGTAGACTCTTGGGGGAGGGATTGGTGAAGATCTGCATGCGCGAGGTGGAGTTCCGATGAAGGCGTGTTTTGCTCGTGTAATGACGGAATCCCCCTATGCCTCGACGCAGTTCGATACAACAGTGTGCAAGCAAGCACACAGAGATCAGCAATTCAGGGAAGATCAGAGCCTTATTTCTCAAAAGAGCGAGTAATCCCCGACGTCCGCCGCCGCCGATCTCGTGGTCGGCGGGGATAGAGAGGGACAACAATGTTGGTAGTCTCATGGTTCCGTTCCAAATTGTCAGATAGTCAGAAATTATCTTGATTTACTTTTCAGGATACAGTAGTGAGTGTTCTAGTTGAAGATCACTGTTGCTCAGGGGGCACGTGATGCTGGCCCCCTTGCGCCGCACGACGAAAGGAAGGGGGCGTCTGTTACCTTTCCTGATCCGCTCGAGACATGTCTGCAGCTCTCTGTTCTTGACTTCGACCTCATCTCCGCTTCCCATACAAGATCAGCATCTTATCCTGTACCAAGCTGAAAAGAGGGAATACTGTCGAACTAGCCTCGGAGATCCATGGACACATCGTATCCTTCGTGGAGGACCAGCGGGATCGGCTCCACATCTGCCTTTCACCAGACTGCCATTCGGTATCTCCATCGACCTGATCAGTGGCTGTATAGTTTCGGCCACATTGGGGCGCATGTGGCGGATCTCGAGATGTACTTCCACGAGAAACCCAGGTGCGGCTTCCGTAAATTTGGGGGCCCCGTCCCGTCTCTGCGCCTTTTCCCCTGCCTTTTGCCGTATCGGTCCGTGCGTTCAGACCACTGGAGCCGCTCGAACATCTAAACCTTGTGAATACCTTCGGGGTCAGGCAGCTCCCGTTAGCGAACTTTGCCAATTGCGGGTTTCAAGTCCGGTTGCCAACCTCGTATTGAAGATCTCCGATTTCAAGACCGTCCATGCTCCCTAATACGAGCATCATCAACGGCAAGGCTCCCTCATCTCACCCGCTTGAATGCATGGCAGAAAGACGCTAAGTCTTTTATTCTGGGTGGCCGACCTATGACCGAGTTTCGCTGCCTTCATGACGTACGGGAAAAAGGAGTTCTGCGTTTCTTGAAAATCCTTTCCAAGTCGACCGGACCGCTGAAGAAGCTCTGGTTGGGAATGCCGGGCCTTGGACGCCAGGTTCTTCATCCAAGCAGCCCCTGCCGTCCGAAATATTGCAGGTTTCATACGATGTAACAGCACCGGCTGCCCTCGGGGCATTCCGACATTTTTCCGCCCCCCCCCCCCCAAATATAGAACTCCATTCGTATTCTACATCGCCGCTATCGAACTCCATCCCGCCTATGGTTATTCTCGGCCTGGCCTGTTTCACGCTCGCAACGGCCACGAACGTTGATCGGCAACGAGCACCCTCGAACGACTTCACACTGCCTGCTTATTAGATGCACGGAGATCTGGGGAGGATCGGGAAGAATAGGTAATCGGAATGGACACGAAGGCAGTGGGTGGTACCACAAAACCCGGTGCCAGTGCATGGAAAGCAGGGAGTTCTTGTGCCAGAGAGACCGTTACAAACGCACTCCGTTCACTCTGCCCTCGCAACGCGCCGCGGAATAATTCGTCGGCCCGGGAATCAGCTGCGCACCTCGGTCCGGTTTGCAATCAACTCGCGGTCGCCGATGAATAACGCGCCGGCACAATAACAATTCCTCCGTGATGCGATCCGGTTTGCCGTGACGAAATCGACCCATGGTGAAGACACTGTCATAGAATGCTAGTGGATCAATGCACATACCAGTATCAAGCCAGAAATAGAGCCATGACACGTTTTCATCCCTTATTCTGCACTATTTTCATCAAGCAGCCCACAACATGGCTCACTGAGGTTCACCAATTTTACCTCATGAACGTCATTCCGCAGTGCAACTGCACAGAAACACAACTATCGAGACCACGTGAGCCCCCCATTCAAGCGCCAAGAAAAGCAAGAAGTCGAAGCTGCCGGAAGCCGCGAAGTCAGTATCGGGCCGAACGTAACCCGACCTTTCTCCCTTCTTCCTTCTTCCCCAGTGCAGTTCCCAACGTTACCCGACTTCGGAACGTTTCGACCTACCTCACCTGACCGGGAAATTCGGGGTCTATAGAAACGGAAAGCATCTTCTCCCTGTACATGTGCAGGCAGTATCGGCGGCGCAGGAGTTGCCTTATAGCTGTACCTCTTCCCGGGCAAGGAGAGTCAGCTGCTGCTGCGCAGGGAGAATAGCCCGGTGGGGGGAGATGTATGCTTGCTGGCTGGATGGACGAACGATGAACTCGTCGGGATCCGAAGAGAAGAAGCACGGATAGAGCAGCTAGGCAGAACCCAAATTTCTACGTACGTACGTACGTGCACGTGTTGACCTAACCAAACACGTTCCCTGTCACATTCTGACCTGATACGTACTGCTAGCACAGGTTACGTTTGTCCACGTTGAACGGCGGGGGCGGCGGCGGACTTCCGTGGGGCCGATCGACGGTCCTCGGAGTTAGGGAACCTCAAGGCTCTCGATAATATCGCCTCACCCTCACGCCATATGTAGAATCTTAATACGCGCTATCATTCGGTTCGGTTTCGACAGGTGGGGGCCCGAGTGACCCGACTGGTGTATCTAGATTGTGAATTGGCGTTGATGACGTCGAACAGAAGGGAATTTTGTAAACGGGCGGGCACGGAGCTGGTCCGAGGGGAAAGACATTGAACATGAAACCCGAGAGGAAATCATTCTATCTCAATACAACATACATATCGTCAAAGCGGGATTGGTCGATCCGGACGGGGCTGAAGCGAGGGAACAAGGAGGCCGAGGATGAACACCGCTCTGTTCGTGATTCTGATTGTCGGACTCTAATTTATACCGGACATAACGAGGACAAGAGCAACACCTGCCCCTTTGTTAGTCTCATGTGTACACGAACTGGTTATCCCCGCCGCGGGGCGTGCCGAGTCCTGTCAAAGGCGGGCTCGGCGGGGCCTGCGACCTGGCTTTGCGGAATGCAACAACATTTATGTATATACGTATTATATATCTGTTGCGTTCATGGGCCCTGCGCACACTTTGTCCGAACGTACTCCGCGGAGGTCCGCCGTCTGAGAGGATGCGTAACCTCTTACTTAAGACTGAGTGGAGGAGCTCAAGTGCTCCGGAGTTCTTGTCCGGAGCTTTTGGACCGCGCGGCAAACCATCGACAGAGTCAGCGGTCCGTCCCTCCCTCCCTCACAATACAGAATCGTCCTCCTGACAAGGGGTTTGTAGCGTAAGTATGGCACGAGTAGTCCGCGGTCATGCGTCGCCGCCGGCGTTGGTAATCGGTTTTCGAGATAAAATATCTGAGATAAAATTTTGCGGGTGGGGTTCAGTAAGCCAGAATCATATGCATCGATCCTGAACACAAACTGCAATATGCGACAGTTTCTATCTCCCCGGGGTTTTGTTCCTCGATACATACCTGCATTTCTCGCTTCGTAAGAGGAGTAAATGGGCCAGTGTAGCGGGACCGGGGAAGGGCAAGAAGAGGGAGATCGGGCCTCCACGCCGCCGCCGATGGCTGTTCTGGGTACGAATGCAGATTGGGGTTGTTGTTCGCCATTGTTGGGTAGAGACATGAGGTGAGGAACAAGCCATGTCAGATATAAGGGGAAGTGGGAAAGGGAGAGAGCGGGTATTGCCGGTGCTCCGCCGGTGTGGCTATGTTGTACCCTGAAAGTGTTGTGTTGGTGGTGGGTTCTTCTTCTGATGTGCTCTATGTGAGATCTGGGAGAGAAGACTGAGAAGATGAGATCGGATGCGGGATGAGACATGACCGACGATAACTCATTTCTCCGCCGCCGTTCACTTCTGTTCTCTCTCTCTCTTTCCATCTTCTCACCCCACGTCTATAATACACCCACTCGCTCGCATGACCACCCTCGCTGCACATCGCCGCTTTCTTTCATTATGACATCCTATCGCACACACGACGACCATATCTCTCCCACCAACTCTCCTTCTCCGTCCCCATCTCTCTCTCCACAGGTGGAATACGACGACATGATACAGGACGATGACGGGTATTATGATAGCGACGTCGAGCGCGCTCCGAGTGTCTACTCCTATGCTAGTAGCAGGGACGGACCCCGGCTAGTGAGAGAAGTCCACGGGAGAGTGTGCAACGCCCAGAACGAAGTGCGTCCACCATCCCTTCCTATCCCTACCCCTGTGAGACTAAAGCACGTGAGCAGCTGTACGCCCTCCCAGCAGACGAAGAAGAATGCACGCGCATCTCTACCCAGCACCTCATGCTCAAACTCGCTTTGTCGAGCAACTACCCCGCCCCACAACTTGTGAAAGACGCTCTTCGCCCTGCCATGTCTAAGCCTTTCTTCCCCGGGCTGCCGAGGCGCACGCAGGAGCGGAGACGGCAGTTGCTGGACTGTGGCACTGGCGCGGGAGAATGGGCAGTGGAGATGGCACTCGAGTTCCCCGAGGTTGACGTCGTTGGCGTCGACTTGGCCCCGCAGTTCCGGTACGCTGCAAACCCTTCATGCACCGGCACCGGCACTGACTGATTTTCCCTGTTCGGGTGGTCTGTACAGTAAAAAAGCGGCAAACGCACCCAAGAACTGTAGATTCGAGATAGACGACGTTACGCTCGGGATGCCACACTTCAAGGGGACGTTCGACGTTGTCCACTCCCGATCTATAGGGAATGGGGTGCGTCCCTTGCCCCCTCTCCTCCCCTTCTCTGGGAGCACTGACACCCCACACACAGGTCCAAGATTTCCCCGCATATATCGAAGATCTCCTGCTCACCCTCCGGCCCGGCGGCATCCTAATAATGTGCGAAGGCGACCTACAACTGCTCTCCAATTCCGGGCCCGTCGATCCCCTGCTCTCCCCCCTCCAGCGGCTGCTCTCAGCAGCATACGGAGCGCTGAAAGCCAAAGGCAGCACGGTGGATGCTGGCCGTGGGCTGGCCAAATGGCTCAAGGCCCTCCAGGGCCGGAGAGGGGGGACGAGTGCCGTGGGGTCGCATGTCGTTTGGGTCCCTGTAGGGGGTTGGTTACCCGGTTCGTCCCCTTCCCTCGCCCGCGTCTTCTCTCCCTGCTCATGTGCCGACAGGCACAGACCCCCAATCCCAGCACCTGAACAACCTAGGCCACTTAATGGCGCAAGACTGCCAGCTCTTCCTCCGCTCTTTACGCCCTACGCTCCTGGAAGCAGGATACGACCCGCTCTTGCTAGACTCCTGGGTCCTGGAGGCGGAATCTGAGCTGGCAAGAGCGGAGAGGGGAGAGGGAGGGCTATGGTGTCTTTGGCATTATGCGTACGTCCCTCCACCCCAACCTTGAAATGGGTGGAAGTTGGGAATTGGGATTGATATGCTGACGATGATCTTGATGCGCAGGTGGGCGGAAAGGGCCGATGGAGAGCTGGTCAGGAGGGCTATGGGGGGTTGACGTAAACTGACGAAGGGTAGGGCGCGCATATACCTGCACAAGCACACGCAGATGGACAGGGATACGCATTCCCACTCTCGTTTGGGCGACGTCGGTGAATGCATGATGGATGAGGGATGAGGGTGAGGGTGAGGGATTGCAGGCTGGGGAATGACGGTGTGAGGGTAAATATATGCAGGATCAGAGGTTTGGAGGTGCTGATTGGTGAACAGGCCGACGCTTGGATTTTGAAGGGCGGAAGGGGCACACTTTGCGAGACTGAGCTTGAGGGGGTCGGGCGAGACGCGCGAGACAGGAGCAAAGCCCAGGCAGCAGGCAGCGCGCAACGAGCGAGGGAGAGGGACGACAATGTACACTAACCAATCGAGCATGGATACCACTTGCACCGACACCCAAACCACACATCTACCCTGCATACCGCATCGGCATCCCCATCGACATGGACATTGGAACGTAATTATCATGATGACATCTTGTATCTCTTGTATCACTTTGGTTCACGACTACGGCTCGACAGCGGACGACAGTTCTTGGTCTGTTAATCTATAGCTAATCTACGTTGCATTTCCCCAGTCTGGCGGTGTTCTCTGCGCCCGGGCAATCAGGCTGCTTGTTCAGATGCGCTTGTGCTTGATAATCAGCGGTTGGTAATCCGAGAATAGGCATCACGAGGCTGCGCCCACTGGTGTTGACGTACGCGTACGGCTGGTACCTGTCACTTGGCTATCGCCGCTGTCTGTTTGTCCCTCGGTCCGACCTCCTTCCGCCGCCGCCGCCGACATGAATGTCCCTCGGATGGCGTCAAGTAATGTTATGTGAGTTCTCCAATATGTGTAATATTAATAAGCTGGTAATGGTCAGATAGCATTATGCCGAGCTTGGGAGAGTACGTCTATGGGGTGAGGGATGGTGCACGACCAGTAGTGCACAGGCCATCAACATGCGTGCGACGAGGCGTCACCACAAATCTCTATCAATATATCACACGTGTGTTTCTTGAATAGGTGGGTAGGACGTTAATCATAGTGGTTCTTTTATTTGTAGCTCAGCGGGTTTGGGATGGGTTTGGACTTCTACAACTCAGTTGATTGATGTTGTTAGCATGACAGAAAGACAGGTAAGATGTCACACTTGTACCAACTTAGAGAAAGAGCTTATCGGTGTTCCCGCTTTGGGTTCGGATGGCTTGGATCTGATGTGCTTCGGAGTCGGTATCCCTTCATGGAAGTGAGTCACGACGAGGAAAGCAGGGTAGGAGTCATACTCTTCCCAATTCAGCTCGTCCCAGGTCATCTTCTTGCGTTTCAACTCCACAGCGTCCATCTCCTCCTCCGTACGTCTAAAGCTAATTCGTAGGTTCAGATTATACTATGAATGCGAAGAAGAGAAGGGGATTTACAAGCGGATTGTCATCTGCCTGCCTAGCTGCTTCGACAGCTGCGGGCTCTTGCACAGATAGTTTTGAATTTTGGACGTGAGACCAAAGGCAGCGAAGTATGCATCCATATGCCTGTGATGGGTGAGCGAAATGGACTTGGAGTTGTACGAGCAGAGCCTGAGTACCAGGAGTCACATCCCTCAAGATCAGAGATCGCACGTTCCCTCAACCTTTCCATCTGGGGTTTGAGTTCGGTCTAATCGTCTGGCTCCCGCCGTGGCCATGCCCAGGAAGGAGAGCTCATCTCCAGGCGCCATGCCTCTTGCCGCTGGGGATAGAGGGTATCGAAAGCGGGAGAACGCTTGTCCCACTCGTTGGTGATGGAGAGAGACAAGAAATGCCAAAGGAAGAAGTGGTCGATCGTAGGCTCTATGGATGCTGGTACGGGGAGTATGGGGTTGGACATGGCTGGACTTGGTGGTGAGCAGGATAGAGTTGGGAAGACGAGACGTAGAGGATTTGAAAGGCTGGAGTGTACGTGAGATGACTGTTTTTTCGTGTGGAGCTTGGTGACTCTTCCTTACCGATGACTCGGATCATCCATGCCATTCGTGCCAACACGAAAAGTCCCCGCCCCCCTGACTTCTTATGGATGAGCAACTCGAAGGAGAACTTTCCGCCCATCCCCACTTCGGTATGAATGGTCATGACACCCAATGACAGGTACCCGGAACAATCGTCCCAATCCTACATAGATCAATGATCACCAGCAATCAAGGAGGTATTTCGATCATTCCCAGATCGTATCCTCCAATCGGCGACCTTGCCGTGCCAAAATGCCCTCGCCCATTATTGCTCCGTCCGGGCACGCCTAACAAGTCATCCTTTCAAGCCGCAAAACAGTGTGGACATAGAACAAGGGGTTACGAACGGATCGCCATCTGCCTCTCCAGTTCTTTGGCAGAATCGCTGTCCATATGCAGGCGCCCTCGAATCTTGCCTTTGATGACTCCAGCGGCGAAGTACGCGTCCATATGCCTATCATTTATTAGCCAGGTACATCCGGAAAGAGTTCATATACCAGGGGTCCGAGCCTTTGAGATCGTTGAGAACGCGCTCCCTCAGCATTTCTAGCTGTGGCTTGAGAGTGGCCCAATCATCCGGCTCCGGCCCAGGCGACCACACCCAGGGAGGGGCAGCCATCTCCGCGAACCACGCCCGTATCCTAATGGGGTAGCTGGATCTGAAAGCGAAAGAACGGTCCCATTCTTTAGATATGGAACGTTCGAAGTCGTACCATAGAAAGAAGTTTTCTACAGTGGCGTCTATCGTCGCTGAGACGCAGAGAATAATGTCAGGCATTGATGTCTTGCTCAGGCGGAAATGAGCCGAGATGCGGGGAAGTCAGATGGACGATGGACGATGGAAGGCCTGCAGGTCTTGCAACGGCAGATGGGCTGAATGTTCTTCTCGGTGTGGCGAGATCGATGTCTCTTCAAAGATGTGACTCCTTTGCGTCCCTGAATAATTTCAACACGTTGTCCACATCAGCCATACCCGAGACATGCGTGGCAAGCCACACTGAACTTGACCCGCGCTGCACCGCAACACCACTGGCAAGGTTCGTGTCGCATCTGGCTGGACAATCGAAACAAGTCTTGCGCTAGTCTGTTCAATAAGAAATAAGAGATGACATTGAGATGTGTGCAGTAGTAATACAAGTACAGTATTAAACGTCCGGCTCCTCTGCCGCATAAATCAAGCATCCACGCAGTCTGTGAAGAGTAAGATCCCTTCCAAGCAACTCAAGAGATTGTGCTACGCCGACTCCTGCCTATAAGACTCTGAGATCAATTGATATGAATAATAGGGTTTCAAGCGCACCTTGCCCCCAAGCAGGGCATGTCGCAGAGAGCCCATTAACGGTTTCACGCCTCCAATCTCGTGTGCTAATGGATCCAGCGCATATTTTATGCTCAACTCAGTCCAATCATCTGGAGATATCTTCTCCAGAGCTGCTAAGGACACCGTCAGAGCAGCGACTGTATGCGTTGGTAAGAAATGATTAAAAAACCCTTCAGAAGTGTGACCCACGATACGTGTCGTCCGAGATCGAGCTACGGAGCTTCACGGCAGTTGAATTGTCATAGTTGGGCTCCTTGAACAGATAGTCTGCCTCGGCAAGAAAGTCTGAAACGGTTACCAGTCGGCTCTGGTGCGGTATCAGCATAGAAGAGATCCTGCATTATGTTAACGAACTTCAAGGGCTGCAATCGCATCGCCGACGTATTCTACGTTTGTTCTGGGACTGCTCACGCGTAAGACTAGGCGCACAAGTATCGATTCTCGTTTCTCTCACCTTTCCGGGTACATGTTTTTGAGGGTAGGTAGCATTCTTTCGGCTATTTTGTGGCGTTCATCTACGTTCAGTAGCTTCACTTGCATGTGTTGCTTGTTCAGGTTGGCGACTTTTGTTGGAGACAACACTGTCCGTCGATTTGTGAAGTTATCGAGGTCGAACTACGTATTGTGAGGTCGGAAAGTGATAGAAACAAGAGGGAGATAGACTTACCTTTTGAATCAGCTCAGTCACGCTCAGATAGGACGGCGTTACGTCTGGATCTGGCGGCGCATGAGGGTCACGCTTGCCGCCCCATCCGGCGATAGCCAGCCAATTTAAGACTGCTTCAGGTTCCCATCCTCTCTCCTACAAAGTCATCAGCGGTTATCCATCCAAGGATAAGTCTATCGCACAATGTACTCTGAGACAAACGCTCCAACTCCGGTACGCTTGCTCATTTTGCTACCATCAGGGTTGAGTAGCAACGGCAGGTGGGCGAACTGCGGTGGTTCCCATCCAAACGAAGCGTAGAGCGTTAAGTGCAAAGGCACCGATGGTAACCATTCTTCCCCTCGTAGAACGTGGGTAATTTCCATCGCGTGATCATCCACGACGTTCGCAAGGTGATATGTGGGAAACCCGTCTGTCTTTACAATGATGGGATCGACTGGGACAGGGTGGGGCGTAGGAGTGCCGAATACCAGATCCTCAAACGCTGGTGGAGGAGTGTCTGGTGTCTGCAGCAGCTCAGTTATACAAAGCTACTGTGGTATGGATAGACATACCGATAACCGTATGCAATGTGGTTTGTTCAGACCGAGAAGGTGTTTCACATCAGCCGGTTCGAGCCTTTTGCAGGTCCGGTCGTAGCCAGCCATAGAGCCACTTTGCTGCAGCCGCAACCGGGTTGCAGCGAGTTGTGGCGGCTCACAAAAACATCGATATGCGTGATCTTTCTGGGAGGTGGTAAGGCATGACGATACTCAAGTTCAGACGCTCACTTTCAGCAAATCATCTGCGTGAGAATGATACATGTCCAATCGTTTGGACTGGAGAGAGTTAGAACGTTGAATTGGTCAATCTGTAGGAGCCATACCTGATAATATGGTCCGTAACTTCCTCCAATTACCGGTCCTAGTAGAGGTTCAGCCCGTGAACTGGTCACACACATTGATCGAGCCCACCTTCATCATAGTGCAGTCCCGCCCACTCCAACCCTCTTCGTATTTCATCTACACTCCCTTCCACGAGTCTTGTCTGCACAATTGTTAGTTTCTCTCCGTGATCAAGTGAATACCTGGCTTACTTGGTCGGTGTCCTCTATTCGCAACAGCCATTTCCCTCCCCATTTGCGCGCAAGCAGGTGATTAAACAGTGCGGTCCTCAGGCCACCCAGATGCAGCGATCCAGTCGGCGATGGGGCGAACCGCAGTCTTGGAAGAGGTGGCATAAGTCCGATTTTGACCGATCAATCCGAGGCAAGAGGGAATGGGGACTCGTGCGAGCGCCTTGAATGCCAATCCGTATTTGGCAAGATGGAGTTCAGAAACAAAATCCTTGGTTCGTCAGGGTCGCGTCTCCGCGCTTGTTCGCACCGTCCACCATGTCCAGCGAGACCGTGATGGCTTCAAGGGGCAGATATATCCCGCCAGCGTTGCGACAGCGCGAAGAGGAGAGGAGAAGGAGGGAAAGAGAGGAGAAAGGGAGGTCGTCGGATAGGATGGAGCGGCTGGCTATGATCAGCCGGAGCGGGGAAGGCGATTCTGACAATGACACGTCCGTTTGGTTCATTCACGTTTACCTATAGGAATACTTATATTTGGGACAGGTTGAAAGACTACGAAGTACAACAAGAGTTTTGGGAATATATTGAGGAACATGTGAGTTGATCTGAAAGGAGTGTTGCCTGTTAATATTGATCAGTTCAGATCAACGCGTATAAAGTCTCCAACCCATTCCCTCCCACTCTGAACGACGATAGCTCATCCTCACTTTCCTCGAGCCAGAACGAAACTCTTACAAACATCCTTTTAATGCTGCGTGAGTCATTTGTGTATCTTTTCCAGCATCACTGAAGGCGAAAAAGGGAAGCTGCGTGAAGGCGTCCTCGCCTCCCACCGCGTAGACAGCTTCGCTGTAGGCGTATACGAGACCTCCGTCTCAGTGGCTATCTACTGCCAGGAAGACAAAGCACTATCGAGTATATTCGGGCGTCTGGTACCTGAACTATATGACCTGCATGAAGATGCGGAGCTTGCAGCGGCGTTCCTATATCTCCTAACCACCAAGCCTCGTGGTCAGAAGCTCTCCTCTCCGCTCCGACAGCGAACGCCGAGCCGTGACGACTACACTGCTGTTTATCTATTGCATCTTCTCGTTACGGGCTACCCTTCTCAACGCGATTTCCTTCTCCGATCAAAGGTTCTCCTCATGCGGACTTCGCCTCATTTCCAACTCGTTGCGGCAACCGCTGCCAACATTCGCCAGGGCAATTACTGGGCATTAGCGCAGCTGGTACTTCATTGTCTGCCTACTCGAAACGACCTGATACAGCGTATGATGGTTGCCATCCTAGCGAAGACAAGACAGCGAACATGGGCGACACTAAAGGTTGCGTATGTGCAACTTCAGCTCGACCACCGGCATTGGCTTTGCTCTGCTCTTGGGTTTGAGAAAACCACAAGTGTACAAAAGTTCATGGCCGAGCGGGTAAAGCGAGGCGAGGTGATGGAGAAGGAGGGAAAGGAACCGACATGGACCATCGTAAAGGCCGCTAAAGGGAAGACCTGACCACCCATGCACACGAACACCCGCATCCAGCCTTCTCTTCGAACTGCATTATCTTTGTTGCTCAAGGACTTGCTGCGTCGCTTCGACAATAATCTCGTGTTCGACCTCATGTATCCGCGCCTCTAGATCCTGCAGGCTATCCTCCTGCTTTATCTCTATCTCCCGCACCACCACGGGTTCTCCGCGATCCACTTCCGTCACAACCCGGTGCACCATCACCCCCGTACGCTTGATCTCGCCAGCCTGGAACGCCGCGTACGCACGGTCGATCGCGTTAGCCCCGTCGAACGCGCCGGGCAGAGCAGGGTGCAAGTTGAGGATAGGCAGATCCTGACCTCTGCTAGACCCCTTGTGCAGCACGTCCAGGAACTCTGCGGAGAGGATATGCATCCACCCAGCGAGGACGACGACGTCTGGTTGTGCACTCAGTACCCGGCGGGCAACCTCGATGTCGTAGTCTACCCTTGTCTTCCCCGGGTGCGCCTTGAGGTACGTAACGAGAGCAAGGTAGTCGGTATGGATCGGAGGGAAGGCTGTACGCGCACGCTCCAGTCCTAGAGCGGCTTTCCGGTTGGAGAAGACGAGGACTATGCGTGCCTTTGGGAGGGCGTGGGAGGCACAGGCGTCCATTAGCGCTTGGAGGTTCGTGCCTGTCGTATATCAGAACAGAACTAGCATAGTATTAAACAAACATGTATACCTGAGCCGGAAATGAGGACCACGATCCTCTTCTTCCCATCGCTGACCTGTGAGCTGCTCATCTTGTGCGTCTAATTTGTAGGATGTGTGAATGAATCCCTCAACGAGAAAAGTGGCGAACCCTGAAGTTATACTTGTACGGAAGCATTTCCCCCTTCCTGTTCAATTTTGCTCTTGTCGTCTCCCTCGTCCAGGACCATCAAGAAGTAGCTGAAAGGTACGTTTGCACATCTAGCCTCGCTCGCTCTATCCTGGGATGATGCCCGGAGATGTGTGGATTTTTCTGACTGGGTGGGGGTGTAGAAAATGCCCGCTATCGAGGAAATCTCCGAGGACGAGCACGTGCATGATCATGACCACGATCATGACCATGACCACGACCACGACCACGATCATGATCATGGGGACGACGCCGGTCTTGAGAAGGTCCAGAGTCGTGCGGAGCGTAAGGCGCGCAAGGCGCTGCTCGGGCTTGGGCTGAAGAAGGTGCCGGGGATCACGAGGGTCACGTTGAGGAGGCCGAAGAACGTGAGTCTTTTCCTTCCCGCTCGGAAGGGCGTGTGGGGGGCTAATTGATGGACAGGTGTTGTTCGTTATCAGTGCTCCTGATGTGTACAAGAGCCCGAACAGCGATTGCTATATCGTCTTTGGCGAGGCTAAGGTTTGTCTGCCCTTCTTTCAAGTGAAGTGCCGGATAGACTTTGACCTTCGTGTTCGTCATGTAGATTGAGGACCTCAACTCCCAAGCCCAGCTGAACGCTGCCCAGCAGCTGTCTCAGGCTGCCAAAGCGGGCGCAGATGAGGAAGACGATGATGAAGTTCCCACGCTTGAGCCTGCGGCGGAGACGAAGGAGGAGGAGCCTGAGGAGGAAGAGGGAGAGGTGGATGAAACTGGCGTCGACCCGAAGGATATTGAGCTTGTTATGAACCAGGTGAGCTGTTCGAGGGCGAAGGCGGTGAGGGCGCTTAAGGAGAGTGGGGGGGACTTGATTAACGCTAGTGAGTATTTCTTTTTTGGAAAGGATGGGGATGCGTGCTGATGGGTAATAGTCATGAGCGCTAATGAGTAGTTCGGGGTGTTCAAGTGAGGAGTGTGGTGGGGACATGTTTGCATATGTAGTAGAGTTACTAAAATGATGATTCCATGCATCACCGATCCCGTCCTACCAGCATACATAGGATGAGCTCCTCAACGTCCAAGCAGAAGGCGAACTGACATCTTCTGAGCAATCACATACAACACTGTAAGAAGTGGATGTACATTTTATCTTGGATTGTGTTTACTAGAAACAAGTTTATCTTGAAGCGTGAGAAGCGACGCGTCCCTTTTCTCTTAGTAGATCTTTTGCATCATTCCAAACGCGTCCCTCACCTTTCCCCTGCGTACACCTCCCTCAACACGGGCAACATGCCCCCCCTCCCGCCGCCCGACCTTCCCCTCAATGCTCTAGTACAAGTCACCGCCGGTCGTGGGCGTATACGATACATTGGATCGCCTGCCTTTGCCCCTGGTAAATGGATCGGTGTTGAGCTGTTTGAGCCTAATGGGAAGAACGACGGGAGTGTGGATGGGATACGGTATTTTGGGTGTACACAGGGGCATGGAGTGTTTGTTAGGAGTGCACAGGTCAAGTTGATCGACGAACAGGTCACACCTACCGTATGTCTAACATATACACTCCTTACTGGTTGTATGCTGATGTTTACTAGCCTCAACCACGCTCATCACGTCCAACGTCTCGCACCGCTGCACCACCACCAAGTGCACTCCGCACAAACCAGCGCAACTCCATCTCAGCGCCGTCATCCTCTACCGCCACTCCCCCACCAGGCCGGCTCGCACCACCGGTCTCACTAGCGCGCACACTCTCGACGCAGTCTATCACCCGCACGCAGGCTACCCAGGCACTCCCTCTTTCCCGCACCGCTGCCTCCTCACCTGCACTCCCAAAACCCCAGAGGACCTCCTCTTCCAGCTCACTAGCGTCCCGTGCAGCCAGCCCTCCCAAGCCTGCAGTCCCGCGCACAGTCCCCCGTCCAACTCCCACCACCCCCCGCGCAGTCCCCTCAGTCCCAGTAAGACGCAGCACCCTCCAAACCCCTCTCTCCACACGCACGCACTCCCCCTCCCTATCCAGCACCTCCGCCGCACGTTCACGTTCCCCCCCTCCCTCCGCCGTGCGTATCCAGGAAGAACCCATCACGGCCGTTGCTCTCCCCCCAGCGGAAGAAGACGAAGATGACTCGCCCTCTTCCGTGCAGGAGCAGCCGCCAGCCCCCGCAAGACCAGAACACAGTCCTATCCTCCGCCGCGTAGGGCAGAGTCCAGTGCTCGAGCACCGAACGCGCACCGAAGACCCAGCACCCTACTCCCCCGCTGTCCGGCGCTCCCCTTCCCCCCCAGTACATACGCACGTAAGCCCCCCTCGTACACCCGAGCCTGTGAACATTGCTGACTGTTTGGGATGTGTGGACGCGCAGCGGGAAGTTGATGAGTTGAGAGCTAAGGTGAGGGTGCTGGAAGTGAAGAGGGCGGATGATGCGGGTAGGATTAGGGAGCTGGAGACTAGGCTAGGGGATGCAGAGCAGTTCGTGGCGTTGAGGCCTAAGCTACAAGGTGTGTCTGCCTGATATTATGCTAAATGTATGCTATGTAGTGTGCTAACTATATGCGTAGCAAAGCTCACTTCGCAGCAGACGGAGCTTGTCGAGCTCCGTCGCACGGTCAAAGACCTCAATGTAGAGAAGGAAACGCTCGAATCCCGCGTGCAGGAGGTGAACGACCAGCTGGAGATGGCACTGCTGGACAAAGAAGTAGCGGAAGAACGTGCTGAGACCGCCGAGTCGGAGATGGAGGACATCAAGGAGCGCCTGGCGGAATCAGAGGTTGAGAGGGAGATGTTGAGGGAGGAGAAGGCGCTTGTTGATGGGGATGAAGAGGAAGTGGAGGAAGGGAAACGGAGCTTGGCTTATGTCCAGCTTGAGAAGCATAATGAGCGGTTGAAGGAGGCGCTCCTTAGGTATGTGCGTGGTTATCCCGGGGAATAGAGCTGATGCCCGCGTAGACTCAGGGATATCGCCCAGGAGAGCGAGAGGGAGCAGAGGAAGAAGATCAACGAGCTCGAGCGGGAGGTCGCTTCTGTTGAAGATATCCAATGTTCGCCTTCCCCAATGTTTTCCTTTCCCTTCGTACTGACTATCCTGCAGCGCAATACGAGATGACCCTAACCAAGCTCGACAACGCCGAAGCGCAGATTGACGACCTCAAAGCCCAGCTTGATGCTTCCCTTGGAGCGGAGGATATGGTCATGCAGCTGACGGAGCGGGTGATGGCGCTCTCCGAAGAGCTCGCAGAGAAAGAAATCGTGATCGAAGACTACGAGACGCTCAAAGAGCTGAATGAAGAGCTCGAAGAGACGCATTTGGAGTCTGAGAAGCAGCTGCAGGAGGACTTGGGTACATCTTTTCTTTCATCTTTTGGGTCGCTGCGAGTGGCTGATGAGGAACAGAGGCGCGAGGTTCGGAGCTGAGGAGTGCACTGGCTAGGCTCGAGGACCAGCAGGATCAGATCATGGAGTATGAGAATACGATCCAGCAGTTCCGGGATGCAGTGCTCACTCTACAGGCGTCCGTCTCCCTTCCTCATTTGTGTTGTTCCCCTGATTCATGTTGTATCTTACAGGGACATCGAGTACCTCCGGAATCAGCAAACGACACACGCCAGCGAAGCACAAGCGTTGTCCAGTCAAAGCCAGGCTATCCTGGCTCTTAACATGAAGCTTCAAACGACGGTCGCGAAAAACCAAGCGAAGAACATCGACCTCGAGCTCCGCAGGCTCGACGCTTCCCAAGCGAAAGAGCACCTGCAGATCGTCCAGCTGTTCTTGCCACAGGCGTACTTTGAGGCTGATGCCGATGCGACCGCTTGCTACCTGTTCTTTGAGAGGCTGGCGTATAAGGCCGAGCTGATCAATGCTGTCGTTGCGCAGAAGTATAACTTACCTGAGAGTCTCACCCAGGATGTCTCGGAGAGTCTTGTTGGCGTTTGCGAGGTGTGTTCGTCCCACATGCATGGTACGAAGTCGCTTACGCCAACATGGGCAGATGCGAGGCCGTATCGCCCATCTCTCTGGCCTATGCCGCAGGTTCGTAGCCGTGCTGAAACGCTGCGATCCCGAGGTGTTCGTCAAGGCCGGAAGTCTGTTCCCGGAGATTGCAGGTATGGAGAAACGCGTGGATATGCATATCGAGCGGCTGAGGCGGGAGGAGTTCAAGGAAGAAGACTGTGTGAGTGATGTATCCAAGTACGTTACTTGCTGGGTCTGTTCCAGTGGTTAGGAAGAAGCTGACGCACGCTAGGATGCTGACACAGTTCGAGCATCTCGCCGAGACGTTCTTTGCCGGATTCCACTTTGCGCTCGGAGAGCAAGAGCTCGATCTGGCGTTCTCGATCGACTATGACCTGGATACGTTCATCGCTTCCCTGGGACTTGTGCAGCATGCTGTTTCTTCGGCGATGCAGGATCCTGGTGAGTGGAGTTCGGAGATTTCGGCTGTGGGCTGTGCTGATGGGGAATCTAGAAATCGTCTTCGACCCGGATGATCTGGAACTTGAGACGGTCCTCTTCGAGCCTCTGAACGGTGTGCTCGCCCAGGCCAGAAACGCACGTACTGCTGTCAGGTATGCAGACTGAATTCTCGCGATTATGAACGTGGCCCAATGTTGATCTTCCGTTTGTAGGAAAATTGTCACTCGGATCCAGGATCTCGTGAATGATAAAGCGGCTTTGCGGTCGAACTTGATCCCTACGCTTGGTGGCTTGACCGAACACATGAGCAAGACGATCGACTTCGGCATTCAGGTAAAGTGGAATCACCATTTCCGCCACTTTCATCTGCTGAGAGTCACCAGCTTGCGCAAAGGGTCAGCATGCATGTCATGGATATCCGAAGTGCGAAGGAGGTACTCCATCTCTCTCAAGTTGTGACTATGATCAGAAGCGTGGCGAACGAGGCTCTTGGGAAGCGTGACGCTTCGTGGGACGCTGTCTCTGAGACGTTGCGTGACCTGGCCAACGAGGCTGCTGCGTTCCTGCCTGTCACTATGGAAGCCGATAGTATTTTGCGAAGTAAGCCCGTCCCTGTTGGTTAATGATCAGGTCACTGACGGATGTCTAGTTACCGGCAACGCCCCTTGGATTCCTCGGGTGGAAGAGATTCGCGCCAAGGCTGCCGTCAATCTCGAGGCTGAACGTGAGGTCGCTCTTCTCAAGGAACAAATTGGCGAGCTGCAGCGCGTGATCAAGACCAAGGATCAAATCATCCAAGAGGGTGGCGTCAAGATGGAACTGATGGACCGGCGAATGGAATCACTTAAGAAACAGGTATGCAGCTCCCGCATGTTGCCCTACTAATCTCACTCGGCATTGTGCAGGCGGAAATTATCACCAACCTAGAGGCTGAACTGGCCAAGCTCCGCAAGTCAGAAGCGTCATATCAGGAATCACTTGAGCAGATTCAATCTGAACTGGACGCAGCCGAACAAGAAATCGCGAAACTGAAAACCAATGGGGCTTCAGCTGACCGGAGCTTCAACCTCGGAGAAGGGGATCTCTTGATTGCCGAAGGAACTTTGGAAACCTCTCAGTTGATTGAACAAGTAAGCGGCAATCAAGGCCACGTTCTATAATCTTAACATTTATTTCAGGTCGACTCACTCAAGGGAGCGCTCCGTTTCCTGCGATCGGAGAACTCTTATCTCAAAGGACAAGGTCTTCTCAAGGAAGTGAACTCCTTACCCCCACTGGAACCCGTCTTATCTGCACGCGCTCCGATACTGGATGTGCTGCAACCTCCAAGTCTTGTTGCAGACAATGCAGACTCTGACACCGAATCCGATCGACTTGCTACTCCACCAAGCACACGAACACTGGCGGAGGCCACGAAACATCTGTACTCTGATGTCCTTATGCATGCAGCAACGGCAAAGATGGTCGATCTGTCGAAGATGGGACCTGATGATGGTCTGAAATGGCGAAGGAGGAAAGATACGCCGGCTTATCAACTAGCGGAACGTCGACGAGAGCGCGATCTGCTGGATCGCAGAGTCAAGGGTTTGATGAAGCAAGCGACTGCTGCCCTCCATACTGTCTAAGTTACATGATCTTATGTTTCCTTTATGTGGTCTACCATCCTTTATATGCGATACCAAGTACAAATTGTGTTACCCACCGTATCTTATGGATCACGTCTATATCCAACGCATTGTGTATGGTTACGAGGAAGGTACAATGTTTTTTTGCCCCAATGATGGTTGGAAAATGTGACGATGACGAGTGTTGAAAATTGTCATTGGGTGTTTCCAGGTGCATTTCTTTTGCTGAGATAGAGTTATGATAAGGAACCCTAATGGAAAAGTGAGTCACCGTGCTGGCAACGCGTGCAGTACACACAATAGAGATCGGACATATGTGACAGCTCAATCAGACACGCTTCTTTGAACCTCAGCCATCCATCAAGGAAGCTAGGTTCTTCTTTCGATTGGCTGTGTTCGCGACATTGGGGCCTTTGAAGTCTAAAAAACCCGACCAAGATACCAACGTGGGTCTCTTCACAGATATTATTACTTACTGTCATAATCTCTCATGTTGAGCCTAGCAATATCAATCATTTCTTTACTTGGATTCGCCCTCAGTCTTAACAATCAAGGCGTTGCCAAACTCCCAGTTCTTGGTTATAATAGTGAGCACTTAAATTGCCATTTGATCTTGACATAATCGTTGAGGCAATCAAAGCTTGGAATCGCTATGGTTGCAACATTGACGCTGCCCTTATACTTGAGACTGCGCAAAGCATGAAGAATTTGGGCCTGCTGGTGTGCCGTTTGATTTGCAGTTCACAATCTTGTCTCCAACGAGCGCTTAAACCCAGGATGCTGTACGCACACATGCTGAGGAAAGGGAGACGACATATTGAGGGTATGAAACGTAGGGATACACTCACGTCAATCTCGACGACTGCTGGCCCATGAAGGCAAGGTCATTCAATGGGTCACTCGTAGCGGGTGGGGTAACCTCGCCGTCATTGAATCAACGAGCTGATATCTCCGATCTAGATACATTCAAGTTCCCGAACGGGATGGCTTCTCTTGTATCGGATCTGAAGTCCATGGGATTGTAAGTTTGTTCAAAGTTCCGGCACCTCAACGACTCACCCTCCAAATCAGCACTACGGGAATCGTGCGTTGTTGCTGAGTCCATGTTCATTCATGCTGATGTCTTGATCTCAGTACTCCTGTTCAGGAATCACCACTTGCGCGGGGTACCCAGGATCGTACGGGTATGAATTGATAGACGCTCAAACGTTCACCGAGTGGGGGATTGATTACTTGAAGTACGATAACTGTAATCGTAAGTTTCTCTTCTTTGAGTGGTTTGATGACTCATGAAGAACACAGCTCCGCCCGAGAATGTCCTGCTAGAAAACAGCCTGGGAAGTAAGCCTCTAATCAGCGGCAGTGACGAAAGGAACTGAAGCGCGCAGAGTTCCAGCGGATGGCGGATGCTATATCTGCTGTTGCCACACAGACGAACAGTACACCGCTGATATATTCGCTTTGCCAATAGGGAGAGGTATGTCGATGTATGTCGATAAAGACCGTTGTTTACTGGCCATGTCGTAGAGCCAAGTCTGGTTGTGGGGTGCAAGCATGGCGCAAAGCTGGCGGGTACGGATCGAGCAAGGAGGGATGCGCAAATGCTGAATATGTGATCTGCAGATAACAACGGATATCACTACGAGCTGGTCCAGTATCACGAGCATCATAAACACGTACGTGATCAGTTCAGGGAAGGAGCTGCCCAGCAGAAGTTAACCCTTTGTAGTGCGTCGTTCGTTACATCCTCGAGTGGGTTCTACGGGCATAACGATCTTGATATGGTATGCGATCTTTCTGAATGAGGAAGATGCCGTAATTGAATATACACAGCTGGAAATGCAAGTTTATCAAAATGTGTTTCAAGGACTAATATGCTTACGAGAGCAGAGGAAACGGCGAGTTGACCTATGACGAGCGGAAATCGCACTTCACTGCCTGGGCGTTGTTCAAAAGCCCGCTCCTGATCGGCACCGATGTCAGTTCTCAGTGTATTACGTTGAAAAATGAGCCTTACGTGAAAGACAGCTGACAAGTATCAGCAATGATGACCTTGGTATATTACTGAACCAAGAGCTCATTGCCATTAATCAAGACCCCAACGTATCCATGAGCATCTCGCCGTTTTCCTGGGGCGTCAACGTGCGTTCCTCCTCAGGCATGCTCGAAATAGATCTTACATAAACACCAGCCAGACTGGTCATTCAATGCCTCCTATCCCGCACAGTTTTACTCAGGACCAACGTCAAATGGGACAGTTGTTATGCTCCTCAATACCATGGCACAGCAGGAGGCCATGTGCTTCACCTTGACTGACTCCCCTTGGCTCAAGCCAGATATCAAGTATATCGTTCGAGTGAGTCGCGGCTTGGTCATTCTCTGGTGATTTGACGTCCGATCTTTTGTAGGATCTCTGGTCGCATACCAATAACTGCACCGCTGTGGGCTCCTTGTCCGTGTCCGTTCCGTCGCATGGTGTATCCGCACTCTTTTTCAAGGAAGCCGGAAACTCGTCCATAAACACTGGATATCCAGCTTGCGCAATAGCACAGAAGTGAGTAAATAGTTCTGACATTGGTATATCAGGCCAGGTTGACAGTTGATCCAGCTGTGGAGTGATAGCGAGCGGGGATGTCGACTGGCGCCATTCAACATCCCCAAGACCTTGGATGGTGGGAGTATTGGTTGCATTATTGCTTGGTGCTCTCGATTTTCTGTAGTAATTGAGGAAGGGGACAATAGACCATCTAGTGTGCAGTCAACGAACTGAAGTCCGTCCCGTGGGGTAGCGCTTTTCACGTGCACACCTTCTGTTTATGTCAGCCAAACTAGGGGAGCCCGTCTCGCTTCGCTCATCGTTTTATGTCGTAATTCAATTAATTTCTATGTACATCAAGTATTCCGAGAACTTCAGGGTATACAATATTTGGAGTTACATTCCTCCTTGGTCTATCTGCTGACTGTGGGGGTAAAAGAACCTTGACTGCACCTGCAATTGTAGAACGTGAAAGTGCAACATATAATTGACCATGTGCAAAAGCAGGCATGCAAAGATCTAGCCCAACATGTTTGACAGACTGGCCTTGTGACTTATTAACTGTCATTGCAAAGGCCAGTTGTACTGGGAATTGTCATCTCTTGAAGATGAAGGGGAGTGCTGCTTCCTCAGATGCAGTGAGAGTTACACAGGGGATAAGTGCTATCTCTCCATGGTGTTCACCTCCAAGCAAGTGAACTTCAAGGACTTGGTGTGAAGCACGGATAACCCACATGCAGGTTCCATTGCAGAGACCTTGTGCTGGAGCCAGATTATGCATAAGCATAAGGGGGCATCCCAGCTTAATGTGCAGCTTGCTCAGAGGGAGTCCAGGTAGTTTGAGTGAGTTGAGGTATTCCACAGGCAGCTCAAGGCTACCTTCGACCCCAGGTTTTTCCTCCACTGAGTCAGCTGAGCGAAACACAGTTTCTTCACCTTGTTGCTGTGTGAGCACCTGTGTATTCATTCCATCCACATTGGTATTTTGTGCAGCCAGAATGGTTTGTTCCAAGAAATAGTTGTCTCCAGCAGGGCCTGCAATTTGTGGATTCTTGATATCTCAGTAGATCACTGAGAGCAGGTTTTCTGGCTTCTCACCACAAGGCATGCCTGGCCAAAGCTGGATAATCCCATCACCCTGTGTTGCCTTGCCACTTCCCACCTCCAATAGCCAACTTGCAAATGCTGCACTCTCAGGGTTGTTAGCATCCAGCTGCATATTGCAAGTGAGATGCAAGATTTCAATATGAGGCCAGAGAGGTGAGCACTGCAAGCAGGCATTGATGAAGTCAACCCTTTCTCCATTGGGAACCACAGGTAATGTTTGCTGCCAGTCACCCCCAAAGACCATTGTCATTCCACCAAAGGGAAGATCAGGCTGATCTCTGATATCACAGAGAGTACAATCTACTGCTTCAACACAATAGTGATGCTGTGCTGTTGCTTCATCCCAGATAGTGATGGAGGCTCTTTGCATCATAGCTGCTAGCCAGCTATTCTTGCATATGTTGCAGGAGGATGTGTCAAGGCAAGCAATGGGGATCTTGAACATGGAGTGTGCTGTATGTCCCCCTGGAAGAAGCAGTGCTGCAATTCCAGAAGAAGCCACACATAGCACAATCTTGCCAGCTGAGCAGAGTCTTGCACAGACTGCCTTGTACACAGAGGTCTTTCCAGTCCCCCCTGGGCCCTGGAGCCAGAAGAGAGATCCAGTTTCTGCATGTGTGATGATGGTATTAAAGGCATGTTGTTGCTCTTCATTCATCTTGCTGGTCATCTCTTCTGCCTCTTCTGCCAGTTGGACTTGATCATAGTCCAGCTGCTCAGCAATCAGATGGTTATCATCAAGGGCTAGCACCCTCTCCCAATCTGTGTGAAAGGCTGGAAATTCACCATGGAACTTGGGATCCTCTAAGTTGGAGCCTTGTGTGTGGAGGAGCTTATCAATTAGATAGAGGCCATAGTCCAATGCATCCTCCTGTGTCATCTCTGGGTGAGAGCAATGGAGTTGGCATAGGAGGTCATTACAGAGGTGTTCCTTGAAGCATGTCCAGAGTTCACCAGGGGCAGCAGGGTGACAGTGCTGTAACCTTGTGACAAAAAGGAGTCAAAGCTGTTTGCCAGTCTGCATGTTGGAAGCCTCTTCAAGGCATTTGATCCATTCTTGGTCATCTTGAAGGAGACCCAGTGCCCTACATGCAGCCTTGAAGGTTGGATAGAGAATACCATCCACTGTTCAAAGGTTTTCAAAGCTTGTCAGCTGTTAGGGCAACACAGGCTGACTAAGTCTGCTCACCTAAGAGTGCCAAGAGTCTAAGCAGGCAACAAGGAAGTGGAGTAGACCTGATGACTAAGACCTATCTACAGTATAGGTACCTGTGGATGATCCTAAGAGACCAAGTCTGAAGAGACAGTCCCCAGGCAGAGTAGGCCTT